AAAATGTATCATTCTTTTCTCTGTGCCCAATCTACCAATTCTTTGCCTCCGTTTCACTTTGTCTTTACTTCTCCTTTCTATTTTTTCTACTTCTCACTACTTAGTTTGCCTGTTCTTATATTATCCATCTATTACTATTTTTTCATTTTCCATATCCCATAGAATTCTTTCTAACTTTTCTTCTAAATTTTTCCAGCTCCCCCTATTGTATATCGATATTATTATAACCTTCTTCTCCCCTATACCTATAATCAACATTATCACTTCTTCCTTATTTTTATATATCAGGTTCGATTCCTCAGCCCATTTTCTTTATTTCTACTATAAATCCTCTCATAGCCCTGCCTCTTTCCTTTTCTCTATGTGTATATATTCCCATTTATGTGCTATTTATGAACTATTAATAACCTTTCTTCAACTTTTTTCTACTCATTTTCTTCTAACCATGTTTCACATAGGCTTACGAAATTTGCCTACATAGTTCCAAAAATCTTTATCCTTATTATTTACATCCGTAATGTACCCCAAATTTCCTTCCCTTTTATTTGCCTTCGAATTTCCTTTTTCCCTTGTATCTCCCTTAATTCTTCTTCTCTTAAATTTTCCATACTTCCTTCTTAGCTTAACATAAATTTTGTTCCTCTTCTACCGTTTCTCTTAACTTATCCCTTTCTTTCCTTTCTCTATCTTCATATTTTTTATTGTTATTTTTCTCTTTTCTTATCCTCTCCTCTCTCTATTTCTGCCCAAGTTTTTCAAACCCCTTATTTTCACTCTCCTATATCCTATCTTTATATCTTCCCCCTTGTTTTCCTGTGCTTTCACCCACTTATTTATCCTACTCTGCGTCTTCCTTTCCTCAAAACTTAAATCATTTTCGAAAAAAATTTTTCCTCCCCTTAATTTATTCTTGTTTCTCATCACCTCTCTCTTCATTTCTTCATTTTAATGACTACCCACTTTAATGACTACTGGTCTGCTTATCCTCTAGCTGATTATCATCTATCTCTATTTTTTCCTTTATAAATTTCTGCACTCATTTCTTGCCTTTCTCTATATCTTTATCTCCTTCCCAATTAATCCTCTTAATTGCAATATTCATAATTGCATTTTCTTTCTCTCGTTCTTTATTCGCCACCAATTTCCGCACTGCTTTTATCTCTCTTTCACTTAATCTATGTTTCCTTCTGATCACCTTCCGCTACATAAACTCGTAGTCCTACTGTACTTCCTCCCTTATTATACACACTCCTCTCCTCCCCTTTCTCTCCCTCTGATGTATAATCGTGTCCTATCCTCCTCTCATTTAACCTATCTTTTATCTCTTTTATTTCTTTATTATTGTATATTCCTCCCATCTCTCTCTAAATCTTTTTTCCATCTTCTCTATCCACTCTTTTACCTTATTTTCATTTTCTCTTCTATTCCCCTAAACCTCTCCTTTCAAAATCTTTTCTTGACCTTGACTTTTCATAATTATTTTTCTTTCCTCCCTTATATTTTTCATAAAAGCCATCCTTTCCTCTCTCATTAATTTTTAACCTTCTCTCTAATATTGGGTTGTTCGGAAAGTTCGTGCCGATTTTGAAGGAAAATTGAAACGCAGAAGATTTAAATTTTTACTTTCATTTATTAAATTTAAATCTTTTGCGGCACGAACTTTCCGGACAACCCAATACTATCTTTTACCTCTTCTCCTCTCCATCCTTTTTTCTCTTCATTTAATCTAAATTTTTACTTTTTCCCGTGATCAGTGCCCTTCTGTCATCAACTTTTTCTGCTTGCTATCCACCACCTTTCCCTTCCCGGCTTCCCCACTTTCTGATGGGCCGTTCACGTCTTTCGACGCCATAACCTTACCTACCTATCTTCTCCTTATCTCATATAGAATAGTCTATCACTGAAGTTCTTATAGCCTTTATTTGTGTCAGTTTTGCATCACTGTGTCCTACCTATCCATACCTAATATTCTATTTTTTGCTTCTAATTACACTTCAGTACGCAATCTAATTCACCGCTACATTCGCATGCATTCACTCTCGCGTCACCTAACCAAGTTCCAGCATTAGTATTTTAATATTTTACAGTCAAAGATAACACAGGTATACCTTAGGTAATGCTAATGCCGATATTGTAACTTTCAACTTGACTTTCAAGTCTTATAATTCGACTTTGAATTACAAGACTTGACTTTCAAGTCTTATAATTCGAAAAGTTATAAGACTGATTAAAAAGAAGCTTTATTGTTTTCAAAAGTTCTTGATACCAACTATTAGAAGAAATAGAAATAGGATATTTCATTTTAAAAAAAGTGATTTGATCTTGACCTGATTTTGATGGCATCAAGACAAATTGTGATCAGTAAATATATCATTTTACCTTATATTAAATCTTAAAATTTTTGTGTATAAAAAAACTTTTTCTTAGAAATGTTTATTTTAAAGATATTTAAGGGATCTTTTTCTACACACACACACACACACACACACACACATGCAGGGTAAATGGTGATAGAGAGAGATGGAGGGAGGGAAGGAGGTGGGGAGGAGAGAGAGAGAGAGAGAGAGAAATTTAAATAAAGCTCTTTATATAAATTATGGATATATTAGTATATTTCTTTCATAGTTTAAGCTTATGGTTATGAAAAAATCGAGAAATCGCAGAAAATATTTGCATTTATTGATTATTATATTTTGTTAAAATTTTCTTTTTTGGAATAGAATTATAATGGAATAGAATAATAATTAACAAATATATTTTTTAGAAAAATTACAATATTATGAACAAAATAAGTACAATAGTTTATATAAAATAAAGACAGAATTAATAGATAAATATCAAAATATCGAACTACTTATGACATGCAGAAAATGTGGAAAGGAAAACTGAAACCGATTTAATTTTTTAAAATTTAATTAACATTTATTTAGTGTGACGCTAATCTATTTATTTAACAAAATAAAACATACCGCGTGCACGTTTTTCCTTTGTGCTTTTTTTAGTTCTTAATTGTTATTTTTGAAAATAATAAGTTACTTTTATAAAACAGTTAAGACTTTTGAGTAATCATCACAGCCATATCGAGTCAGAAATGATTACCTAGAAAAAAATGTTCTTTTTATATATACTCAGCAAACGAAAATAGATTAAAATGGATTAAAATTTTTTTCTATCTGAATGCGTATTTTAAATAATTCTTTTGTTTTTGGATTCAATTGGATTCAATTAGATTCAATTGAATGCATTTGAATTGAAAAATTGCATTTTCTATTCAAAATTTTGAATTGAACAGTATTCACAATGCACAGAAAAAGCTAATATTATTTTGAAAAGCACAGGAGATATGCTCCATGCAATTCCTATACATGAATAAAAATGCATTCAGAA